CTCTAGCCTGAGCTGATCTCAAACAGAGACTGACTTTCCTCAATTAAGGAGAAAGGCAAAAAAAGCCTTTCAATGCTCCCATTACTATCCAGAGACTCCAAACTGAAAACACTCACAAACATGGCAACTATAGCACAAGCCTTCCTTTGCCAAACCATCTCAAATATTCACACTGCAAAAGTTGACAGATGAAAATGAACCACTGAGTTCAGAAAACAGTTTCAAGTCAACTGCCTGGGCGCAAGCTGCAAAGTAAATTCAACTCCCTTTCCTTTCCAAAGACACGGAATGTATATCTTAGCCAGAACTCCAGGTTTCCACCCTGTCAGTGCAGCAAAACAGCTCTTATGAAGTCACTAGTGACTTTCCATGTGACACGGTTAAAACCTTCCATCCTCACCTTCTTGACTTGTCTGCTGCCTTTGACACACTTTATCCATTGTGCTCCTATAATACCACTCTACTCCCAACCAGTTGGTTTGGACCTCACTTCCCTGGATTCATTCTTCTCCTATTGAATTGTGATGACTGACAACGGCTCCTCATCCTGCTCGCACACTCTAACCTCTGGTTCACCCAACAATCTCTCCTTAGCTCCCAATGTCTCAACAACACACTGCCCTTGGTGACACTGACACTGATGCTGCCCGGCTCTATCTCACCACCACCCTTCTTGTTTGCTTCCACTGTCTCAAATTTGTCAGACTGTCTGTCTGATAATCAGGACTGGACAAGGAGAAATGTCCTCCAATTAAACATTGGTAAGACTGAAGCCATTATCTCAGTCTCTGTCAGAACTTCATTCCCTAGCAACTGACTCTATCCATCCCCCTGGCAACTGTCTGAGGCTGATCCAATCTCCAAGAGGTCACTAAGACCATTTCCATCTCTGTAACATGGCCAACATGCCCACAAGCCTTGCACCCATCCCAGCTCACTGTTGCTGAAATCCTCTTCCATGGTTTTGTTACTCCTAGGTTTGATTATTCTAGGGATCTCCTGGCTGGTTTCCCACATTTTTACCTTCTGTAATCTTGGGTGCATCCAACTCAGTTGCACATAACCAATTTGTATCCTGTGTTAAGTCCCATTACTCATTATCCCCACGTTACACAGGATACTGCTTAAAAATTCTCGTCCTTGTCTTTCCATGCCCTGAACTTCCTCCAGTGCAATAAACATGGGAGATAATTCGGACCTCCTGGATACCCCTGATCTTAACTGCCACATCACTACTGTTAGCTGTGCTGTTGTCTGCCTAGGACCTAAGCAATAGAGATCTGTCCTTACACCTCTCCATCTGTCTACCTCACTTTAAAATGCACCATAAAACTGGTGCAGACCTATAGCCACCTTTCCTAACATCTCCTTATGTCGTTCCATGTCAAATATTGTTCTATATCACCCCTGTGGGATATTACATTACAAGTTGTTGCTAACACAGATAGGCAGATTTTTAACTTTTCATTTGAGCGTAAAATGCTTAAATTTTATTTCCAAACACTGAATGGAAGTTCAAAACGCATCTCCCAAACGAGAATAAAGGAAAAAAAAGGAATGAAAAATAAATTGAGCATATTGAGCAATTGGATGAATGCAACCAAAACGAATTATTTTGCACATTCCACTAGTCTGCATCCTCTTTCATTACTCATAACTAGAGGCAGAAGAGCAGACAGTTTAGGAGTGTACTTAGTGTTTAATTTGGGGCTGGGGAGGACATCAAGGAAGCAGAAAAGAAACAACTAAACTGAAAATAGATGCTGATGTGCAAAACTGCATCAGGTTTAAATAAACTCACATTCTATGGTAACTTAGCAACCACCATTTAAACACAACCAGTACTGAATTCTCTCTATCTGGCCCAGTTGTGGTCAGGGATTCAATATGTGGCTGGAAGTCATCCTAACATTCCTGCTTCTAATACCTAAAGTAGCCACAGTTTCATTAATTCTAAATTAGTTACACAATCTCTTGCACTTAAAGCTATAGTTTTCAATATAAAAAGTATTTCCATTGCTTTTTGAAATAAATTTTGCAATGCAAATCAAGTCCCAATCTGTTTTCCTTTCATTGTCACACTTCCCCAAAGTTACTAGGGAATCTAAACGGGTAACAGTTCTCCACAAGCTTGTATTTAGATATTTGAATATTGCAATTGCTCAACTAAATCCATGTCAAAAAAAAAATCACTGCCTAATTCCATTACGCTGAGCTATTTAAAATGCAGGACAAGGATTCTTCTTTTGCATTCCTAACCTTGTATCGATAGGAACTGTGCTAATGCAGAGCTTGTAAAGATGCCTTGCTGTTTCCTGCACCCAACAAGCCTTAAGCTGTATAGTGGGCAGGACAAATGAGTCAGCATAGCACAACATCCTATTATCTTCATGTATCAGAGTATCAATTTTATAAATAGTAGTTCATAGAGATGTACAGCACAGAAACACACCCTTCAGCCCAACTTGTCCATGCCGACCAGACATCCGAATCTGACCTAGACCCATTCGCCAGCATTTGGCCCACATCCCTTTAAACCCTTCCTATTCATATACCCTTTTAAATGTTGTAATTGTATCAGCCTCCACCACTTCTTCTGGCAGCACCTTCTGTACACGCACCACATTCTGCATGCAAAAGTTGCCCCTCAGGTCCCTTTTAAAATCTTTACCCTCTCACCTTTAACCTACCTCTAGTTTTGGACTCCTCTACCCTGGGAAAAAAGGGTATGACCCTATTCATGCCCATCATGATTTTATAAACCTCTCTAAGGTCACCCCCTCAATCTCCGACGCTCCAGGAGTAAAAACCCCGGCCTATTCAGCCTCTCTCTATAGCTCAAACCATCCTGTCCAGGCAACACCTTGCAAATCTTTTCTGCACTCCTTCAAGTTTAACAACATCTTTCCTACAGCAGGGAGACCAGAACTGACCACTGTATTCCAGAGGTGACCTCACCAACGTCCTGTACATCTGCAACATGCTGTCTAACTCCTAAACTGCATGCATTGACCAATGAAGGCAAGCATGCTAAATGCCTTCTTCACCCGCCTGTCTACTTACGACTCCACTTTCATGTAAATATGCATCAGCATCCCTAGGTCTCTTTGTTTGGCAACACTCCCCACAACTCTACCATTAACTGCATAAGTCCTGCCCTGGTTTGCCTTACCAAAGTGCAACATCTCACATTTATCTAAATTAAACTCCATCTGCCACTCCTCAGCACATTGGCCCATCTGATCAAGATCCCGTTGGTAACCTTCTTCCCTGTCCACTACACCACCAATTTTGGTGTCATCAGCAAACTTACTCACCATACCTCCCATCTTTCACATCCAAATCATTTATATAAATTGTTGCAAATCTGTACAGGCAGTGAAATAGTCATGTCAGAGCAAAGTTAAGGATGACATTCTCTTTCCCTAGAAATGGATATTATGGGATTGCAATGTATTATAGGTGAAGGTGACTTGGCAATATCATAATTTAGATCTCCACAGACTAGGAAGACATTTCCATCCAAGTTGTCACTTTCACATCCCAAAGGTGGGTCAATGCTGTTGGAGAGCTATGGGATTTGCCTCAGAAAGTGGGGAAAAATGAAAGCAAATCAAAAAAGGTCCATGCCTTTACGATGCTTGGTCATAAATTCCAGCAGCCAGCTGCAACTGAGACTGAGGTTCTCTCCATTTCAGTCTCAGTCAGGACAGGGCCAGGCTACGAGGAGATTAGAAGAGAAATCAGAAAAGTAAAAGGAAGATAACCACAAGCCTACGTAAAATCTGATCACATCATTTGTTAGAAGATGGAGAATTGAAAATACAATATTGAAAAGAAACATTATAAATGAATCTCTGTTACGGGCAATAGATGAAGACTGAAAAGTTGTATGGAGTCTAGCTGACATACAACAGGTTGGTTCTAACATTACGCATCTGAAAGGAGAAAGTTAGCTTTCTGACAATTAGGTTGCAACATGATTCGTTTACATCATTATCATCATTCTGTCCAGTACGTAGATTTGATCTTATCCCAACATTTAAGCTTGGGACTGCTGAGATAAACCACTTTCAAGTCATTCCCAAATGGTGGAATATTTTGTTGCCAGTGCAAATGCAACATTCAATAACCCCACTCAATTTTTAAAAAAATTCCACTTGAAAGGAAAGCAGAAATGAGAGACCACTGCAGGAAGTTTGCCAGTGGGTGTATTCTTGAGCTGAGCTGATAATTGACCAACCCTATAGATTTTGCTTTGTTTGCACATATTGTTAATGTTAGCAATTCTGACTGAACAGCTCCCCGATTAACATGACTTTACTCATTCTCATTCTCATATCGGACAGGGAGATTTATCCATAAACCTGTTTTATCATCCCTCATTTACAGCTAGCTACCAAACACCATTTTGAGAGGAACATCACTGCAAAGATGACAGTAGTTTAAGGATAAGGCATATTGGGATACACAGTTAGTACCTTCTTGCCAACAGGAACTGATATCTTAAATTAAGTACTACTGACTTTCATGGTGTTCTACAGTGCTTAGTTAAAAAATGCACAGCTTATTATTTTTGCCGTTACAAGTGAGAACTTCGCCTTATCGCTGTTACAAGACTTCCATGTGCTGAGGTGAGATGTTTCAAAGAATGTCATTAATGCAGGATGACCAGGGAACAGCTGGTCATTACAAGGAAATGACTCAAACTACATGGAGCGTAACCTCGATGGAAGCTAAAATCTGCCACCGTTAACACTTTGCAAGCAGAATCTTAACAGGTATGTCAATATAACACCAAACCTATTTGTAAAGTGCCTGAAGAATTATTGTTAGACAAGTAGACTGGTGAAAATGTCAGAGTCTCATTTTTAATGTCGGATTTCTACTGTGTGATTAATTATCAAGCAGAGCTGCAGATTTGCTGATAATTCTTAATGTGTTGGGTCTTATTAGCTTATTTGCCGTTTCCATGTTTGGCACATAAATTTCTTCCTTACCCAACTTCTTCATAGAATCCTTCCAGGTCATCCTTCTGCTCATCCAGTGACAACTCCAGATCCAAATAATTCCCATTCGGAGCTATCTGTAGCACACAGTCTTCCAACTGGACAGACAGGAGAAATAGAAAAATAAATTATTTTACTTCTGCAACCTGAAAGGAGAAAACAAAACAGTAACGCCTTTCCTGAACTCAGGCCATCTCAAAGTGCTTTATAGCCAAAAATGAAGGTCAGAAGTCACATGACATCAGGTTATAGTCCAACAGGTTTATTTGAAATCACAAGCTTTCGGAGCGCAGCTCCTTCATCAGGTGAAGTCACTACGCCTGATGAAGGAGCAGTGCTCCGAAAGCTTGTGATTTCATGTAAACCTGTTGGACTATAACCTGGTGTCGTGTGACTTCTGACCTTGCCCACCCCAGTCCAACACTGGCACCTCCACAACAATGAAATTATGATGGAGAAAATGTGGCAGCCGAGTTCCACACTGTAAGCTCCATAAAGTCAGCACTGTAATAATGGATCATCTGTAAATGCTAGCAGCAGGATAAATATCAGCCAAGACACAGAGGAGAATACACTTCCTCTTCTTCAAATTGTGTTATGGATCTTTTATCCAGACCTGAGTGCATATAGGGCCGATGTTTGACATTTCATCAGAAATACAGCCTCAATATTCCCTCAATACTGAATTGCAATGTCAACCTAAACTACTGTACTCAAGTCATACAGTCAAAAAGCACAGAAACAGACCCTTCAGTCCAACTTGTCCATGCTGACCAAGTTTCCCAAACTAAACTGTTCCCACTTGCCTGTGTTTGGCCCACATCTCTCTAACCTTTCCTATTCGCGTACCTATCCAAATGTCTTTTAAATGTTGTAACTGTACCTGCATCTACCACTTCCACTGGCTGTTCATTCCACACACGAACCACCCTCTGTGTGAAAAGGTTGCCCAAATCCTGGAATGGAATTCGAACTCACAGCTTTCTGTGACATTACTACCAAGGCTGGCCGAGAAGCCTTTTTTCCCTAAAAGCATCTTGTCCCACATTATCACAGTATCAAAAAGTTCAGAACACAAGAGCTTCCTAATTAATTTGCTGTTATATTTTAACAGTAAACTATTTGACACAATAGGTTTTGCAACATCATGAAATAATTACATGGAGCTTATAGCAGTTTGGATGTAAAACAGAGGACCCTAAATAGAACACGATCATGGACTACTGAAAGACCTCATTCAAAAATAGTCTAGCAGTGGGCAGATCTTAAATCCAGTAATATGTTAATTGCTACATTTTCTTTCTCTATAATAAAATTAGTTGTCTTCAAATTAATAAAATCAAAAAAACTATTTAGACAGCCGGAAGAGAGGGCAGAGGTTCACATATTGTGAACAACTGTCATTCTAAATTATTCAGCAAAGATAAAGATGTATGACTAGCTCTGGAGCTGTACTGGGTCCCATTCAAATAAATGTATTCACCACAACAGAGCCAGCTCCATTCGAGAAGATATGGAAATATATGGCTTAAGCCTGTCTGTGTGCAAACCATGACTCAGCAGTTACAAAGAGGCAGCTCTCCAATTAGGAATGAACACCCAGCCAAGATCCACGCTGGTCCTTCAGGGAATAGCAATTTGATAATGTATGCTAAAGGTTTTAAAAATTTGCAAACAGGTTGAAGAGAAGGCTAAAAGAAGGTCCTGGGATGTTCCATGGAGAGAAACAGTAAGACGAGTCACAGATCCCATCACAGCAAGGATGAAGGAGGGAGGGTACAGGAGATGTGAGAGAAGGAGAGAGAGAGAGAGAGAAGCCAAAAAACACAAACTTCAGTAAAGCACTGACAGAGCTAGAGATAAAACAATGACCAAAAGTCAAGCAGCAGCCAAAAAAAACAACTACGTGGCAATTGCTGATAAATTTCGCGGCCTGTGTCCACTTACTGTGTTTGCTCAATGCCATGTCTGACTTCATCCAGAAATGCTGCTGCTTCTCCAGAATAGGGAATTCTGCTACCTGCTATGGATAGGGCATTTCTGGAATATCCGTCCCTCCCCACTAACCCACCACCACCACCACCCCCACCCCCAAACCCCCACAGCAGAATTCCACCATCCAAAGAGGAGTCTCTGGGAACAGCTGGGATCAGCGCTGACAAGGGAGGAAGATGGCATTTTGAACTAGTTTTGACAGGGCTGCTGATAGCGGGGAAGGATGAGGCTAGCGTGAATTGATGGAGGACAGAGAAAAATGTCAGTCTAATTTTGTGGAGGTGAGGATTGAAGGGAGAAGAAAGACTTCTGAACTGACAGAGAGGTGTGCCCGAATGCCTTACAACATCCTATAACATTTATTGAGAAATGTGTAAATTACTGGTCGTCTAAGCAAAACATTATCTATTTTACTATCACAAACAGGCAGTATTGTTACAGCATTTTATCCACGCATTAGAAGTTCACAGTAATTAGGTTGGTAGATCTCTGTGAATTCAGCTCTTTATCTTTACTTGTACCACATGACAGCAACAGCAACCATTCAGTACAGCAGTTATGGGAGCATCAGTCACTAAAAGGTCTTTTTTTTTAAATCATGTTGCACAAAGAAGTTAAAATTCTGAAATCACCTGGATCAGAAATCCCAGAATTGATTCTGGCAACTGGAGAAGAGAACAGAGCCCAAATGTCAGAGTTCTTTTTTAAATGACACAAACTGTGAGTAACTACATTTGACATCACATCAGTAACCAGTTACACAGATGGAAGGTGCAATTCCCTTCCTTGATAATGTACAGATGAGTAATGAGTACCATTAGCATCACCACTTTGGTCAGTTCTTGGGTGCACTGTCATCTATAGCTACACCATAACAAAAAGAGAGATCACAGTGCTTACTCTGCCATTCATCTGGATTACAGCTGTTATTGTCTCATATCCAGGAGGTGCTAGCCTTTAATCCATAACCCTTAAACACCTTAAACTAACAAAACATTATCAATCAATAGTCCGATTGATTTAGCACCCATGGCAATTTGGGGGTTTAGAATTCCAAATATTCACAGCCCTTTATGTAGAAAAAGTGCTCCCTTGATTTCACTCCTGAATAGCGCTAGCTCTAATTCTACACTGGGTAGACTTGGAGTTTCCCAAAGTCCCAGAAAAGTGTTGGAAGCACTGAGATAAAAAAAAGTTGTGCTGCAAACTGTGCATTTGCTCTGAAGATTAAAGAGAGTTGTGGCCAAGAGTGAACAATCAACATTTGTAACTAGGTGCAAGCCTAATATGATTCTTGTTGCCATTGTGAAGTGTGTAGAGCAGGTAACTGATGTTCCAAGATTAACACAGACAGTGCTTTTAAAGAAGGAACCTTGAGTCCAGAAACATCCCTGTGGTTTGTCATGAGGAATGTGAGTGGGCACTTGCACTTGGATTGAAAAGGCCAAATTCATCCAGAATTAAACAAGGCTGGACAGATTTCCTGGTTTGGACTGGAGGAAGGCTCTCCAGGAAAAGAAAACCTCAGTCTGATCAACAGTTCAAAGGTTGCAAGCTGCCAGACTGAGAACAGAAAAGAGGAGGAATAAACCTGTGGGAGCTAAGATTCACTTTTCAATTGATTTTGAGAAATCCATATATAAATGTACATATACATAAATATGCATATTTTATAAATATAACATATATATAAAAATACATAATGTATATATTAAAAGACAAGACAAAGACATTAGTTGGACTAATAAGAAAGGTTATTCAATTCCGTAATTTAATGTATTAAGTTGACTACAAAGATAGTGGTTTGTTCAACATGTTTTTAGTCTTTTGTTATGGCAAATGTTTAAAAGATGAAACCTTGACTATCATACTGTCAAGTTGAATTTTTTTAAAGTTATTCTCTCCACAAGCATCATAACACACATCCATGCACCTTTGTTATAAGGGAATGATTTGAACAGCCGATCCAGGGTGTGTGTTATCAGAGGTTTACATACAAGTCAAAAATTGCTTTAAGTCAACTGTTGTCATGACCAAAACTAATAATATGGGACAATTGGATGTGAGCAATAAACGCACTATGATGCACATTCAAGTATAAATAATTGGAGGCGTTTAAAAAAGAAATTTGAGAGTTTACATAAGCTTTCATGTCTGTTACCAGATAAATATAAAATATACCATTGATGCATTCTAAAATATTGCAGAAATTTGCATTCTGCAGAGATACGGACGGTCACTGCTCTGGGCACAAAGAGGATCGCATTACAATACATGCCGTTGATAGAGAGAGAGATACAATGAGGTTATTTGTTATTCTATTAATATCTAATTTTAGTGAACCCTTTTAAAAAGTACCCTTTCAAGTTTCCTTCTGGTGTTTTCCATTTTAAAGTAAACAGTAAGTGTATATCATCTAACAGATAGCAGATAAGAGTTGTATTTCAATAGAACAGGAAGATCCCGGGTTCTGATTCTAAGTCTGTGCTGAGTGGACCAATTTCATTTAGTTAGCAGTTCTCACCGCCCTTGAACTGGGGAGAGGGAGATGAGGGAGTGAAGAGTCAGGACATATTCCTCACTCCTGATTGCTATCCTGCACTCCTAACTGAACTTGTGCCTGCCTAGAACTCCAGTAAAAAGTAACACTGGCCTCTACTGCTGAATGCCCAGTTATTGAGAGGCTACCAACCCTCACACATTAAAAAACATGAACAACAAGTAGGTGAGACAGGGGAAGAAAATCAAGAGCTAGCGTAGAATGTGGCTTGTGAACTCCTTGAGGAGGGGTAAACAGGCAAGACAAGCTCAACTTTGCCTATGGGCGTACAATGGTTTAACACGTACATGCTTCTGTTGTGCTATGTGCATAAACTGAAAGGATGCAAAGATTGTTAAATCCCAACATACTGCACATTTATGTTTATAGATTCCAACCCAATTATTATTCACACTGCCAAATAAACATATACAAAACACAAGCGATTTCATTTCTACCTAACACGTTCAAACATCTCAAAGCTTGGTTTATGTTCGATTGCTGCAATTGGTACCCAAAATAACACATACAGTTCTGACATTATCATGCATATCGTCCTAAAGT